CAGGTAGGGGGCACGCAGCCAGTGCAGGGCTCCCAGGGCAAAGGCAGCAGGGCAGAGAGCCCTAAGCCCACAGCAGGCAGCCTGCAGCTTCCTTTGCCCTGCTTGGCTGTGCTCTGGTTAAAAGGATCTCTGTGCTTAACAGTGCTGGTGGCAGCACTTGAACTAAAGATCATTCAACAAGCTTTATTTCAAGCACCCCACCACCATTTTTAGGCACTGGGATGCTGATCCCCAAGACAAGCTGTCCATGGCTCCATCCCTCTCCCTAGCCTGGGTCCCATTCACCAGCCGGGGTGTGCAGTGCCCCCAGCCCCTGTTCCTGCTCTTACCCCACTCCCTTCCTCACTGTTGGGGCCTTGATCTGCCCCCCACCCTGCTTGGGCAGTTGTGGGGGCCACTGCAGCTACAGAGGGAAGTGCCAGACCCCCACGCAGCTGAGGCAGGCAAGCAGGCTTGGGGGGCGGGGCAGAGATCAGACTCACCACTTTTTTTTTCTTTTTTCTTCTGTGGAGCCTGGCTTCCTGGGCTGCCTAGACCATCTGCCTGCACAGCCTCTGAGTCTCACGGAGCCCAGTGCTTCCCTCCGTGGTTGTCGGATAGGAAACTAAAACTCCTCGGAGATGTTTTGCTTTGCAGCACCCCAAAGTCATTTGCTGCATCCTAAAGTCATTTAAGGTGCGTTACACCACCAAATGTGCTACAGCGGCTGGAATTAACGCAGAATACGCTGCCAAATGTACAAACAGCAATGCCATTAAAGCAGTGCCAAAGGCATTTAATTCACTTTAAACCTGCTAAAAAGTGTCCTCTACAAATGACACTTGTCTCTGAAAGTATCTGTCTACTCGGAAAATAATATTTATTACCCCTCTAAGACTGGAATTATATCTGATAAACCTAATTACTTCACCCATCCTCAGTTTTAACTTGCAGCATTAAAATACCAGTACTCTAAACAGGTCTAGTATTAGGCCCATTCCTCATTGTTCTTTCGTTGCCATTCAGTAACATGGCATGATATAGGAATTACTCTTCATCCTCCTTATGTTTTATTATGATTTTCATAGATTTCATAGACATTAGGGCTGGAAGGGACCCCGGAGGATCATAGAGTCCAGCCCCCTGCCCCAGGGGCAGGAAGTCAGCAGGGATCATAGGATCCCAGCAAGATAAGCATCCAAAAGCCAATGCTTCCATTCATTGAGCTCATCATTACAAACTGGTGGTACTTTGAGAATCTACACAGTAGTAAGCAATTATAGGTGGATTTTAGAACTCTTTCATACTCTTCATCCCTCTAAAAGCAACATTGTCAGGAGTCTTGTACTCTTGGTAAGGGTCATGCATGGTGGTAAGGTCAAAGGTGAGGT